CCATTTTGTTTCAGAATGTAAAACGACCTTAGCGTCAGTATAATTTGAGGTGAGTGAGGGGAAATTACGAAAGAGAGAAATTTGTTTCTGGTTACTGATCAGACTGTACAGTGAGATTGACACGATGATCAGTGAAGAAGGAAACGGTAGTGACCTATTTAAGATGTACTACGATTTTCCTGGAGGAACTTAGGAAAACCACGAACACGTATGGATGAAAGAGTTCTATCTTCTGGGTCATAACGCGTGCACTGCTTCACGCTGGTTGCTTCCTTGGCTTATTCGTCGACCTTGAAGACGGAAGAGACATGCTAATCGAAACTTCGGTTGACTTTCCACGGACTACACGGCATTGTACGCCAGACGATAGAACTCTTCCTAACGACCGTGAGAACCTCAAATCCTGCAATTTAGTTCACTTGATGATGAACTCGAACNTAGCGTGTTGAGGACCGAAGCGTTGGGCGTGTGGATTAGCGAGATCTCCTTGAAGATTCGAATGTGTGAAATAAGGTAGACGACACGAANGCTTATTTCGCCGCCGTTGCCTTGCAAAAGGTCTACATGCCACAATATATAATCTCTAGGGAAAGTCTGAGGATAGGTAATTACGGTAGAAAGGTTTCACTTGTACAGCTTAGCCAAACAGTTACAGCAATGACAACTGGGTACTCGGTGATAACATTCTACGCTAAACACAAAGCAACAGTAAGAGACAGAGTATGACTTTCGAAGGAATGTCCTGGGTAGTCGATCCAGTAGTGCTCAGGGAAACAATAGCCCCCTTTATAGAGAGAATCGTGCGAAACACTCGGTTTCCAAAGCTTGGAGTTATATAATCTTAGCGCAGGTGGTGCATACAGTCACCATTTTGTTTCAGAATGTAAAACGACCTTAGCGTCAGTATAATTTGAGGTGAGTGAGGGGAAATTACGAAAGAGAGAAATTTGTTTCTGGTTACTGATCAGACTGTACAGTGAGATTGACACGATGATCAGTGAAGAAGGAAACGGTAGTGACCTATTTAAGATGTACTACGATTTTCCTGGAGGAACTTAGGAAAACCACGAACACGTATGGATGAAAGAGTTCTATCTTCTGGGTCATAACGCGTGCACTGCTTCACGCTGGTTGCTTCCTTGGCTTATTCGTCGACCTTGAAGACGGAAGAGACATGCTAATCGAAACTTCGGTTGACTTTCCACGGACTACACGGCATTGTACGCCAGACGATAGAACTCTTCCTAACGACCGTGAGAACCTCAAATCCTGCAATTTAGTTCACTTGATGATGAACTCGAACCATGGACACCGGCAACGTGAAGCGGCAGTACCAATTACAACACCGCGATATCCTGTTGCAGTAGATACAGCATCATTAAATAATAGAAGACTGGACAGAAGCTTGGTTCCTAATTAGCACTGAGAGGTTCCCAGGAAACAGTACTCATCATATGTACCGCCATGGGGACTCCAAATCTCGAAAAATATTTTTGATTTAAGCACCTGATACTCTACAAATTTGAGGAAAACTTCCTATACCAAGCGACTTGCCTCCTAGAAGCCAGGCTGCAATCCAATCACCTAATCCAAAAATCCTCTATAAGTCATGCACCTCTACACATGACGCTACATTTCAGGGGAACCATGCCCACTCTGTTGCTATTTATATATCATCCACTGCAATACTATCCTCCTACGAACGCCTGTATGACAATCAAAATGCTTGCAGGTAACAGGCTACTGCGCCCTGTACAGTGTTTGAAGAGCTGTCACACGCTGGGCAGATGCGAGAGACCGCGTCCACTGCAAGCGAATTACCGGTGATTCATGCTCTCGTATCGCAAGCATCGGATTCCTCGCCCCCTCCACCATCCCAGTCGGATTTGCCTAAATGCGATGAAGTAAACGATAGCGCACTTGATTTAATTACTTACATGTAACTTAGCATCCGATCTGTCCGATGCAATCTAGTGAACGCCTGCCTTTAGGCGCCGGCCGCCCTTTACCCCCAGGAAGATTCCTGATATCCATTTCTGTTAGAGGAAGAGTCGGCCCCAGGGCCATAGCGCGGTTGGACGGATTAGGTCAATTGAAAATGCACCTCTTCGGGACTAGAATCCGCGACCTTCTTCTTTGTAGCATAGTGCCTCAACCAAATATGCTACCAAGTACTGGATTGGCCGCCCCATAGCTGAAGCGGTTAGTCGCTGGCTTCCCACCGCGGCGGCCCGGGTTCGATCCCGGGGTCAGGTAAAGTGGGATTTGTGGTGGACAAAGTGGCGCTGGGACGGGTTTTCTCCGAGTACTTCGGTTTCCCCTGCCAATCTTCATTCCACCAATTGCTCCACAATCACCCTCACATATCATTGGGGCTGGTACAATAGGCCAGAAGTGGCCGCAGTACAAGGGACTTAGTCCCACCCCACTGGCAATAAAAAAGGTACTTGATTATTCTATGGGTTACTTTAACTTTATTACATAGCGTTGAATGATGGAGTAATTGATAATTAATTTTGAAAGGATCTGGAAGGATGCGGTCGTGTTCTACTGTCGCCATATTTCATGCACGAGACAAAAGAAAATCACGAAAACGTCACTCGCTACAGTTGATGTTCCCGCGGAGATTCGAACCAAGCACCTCGCGAACAAAAGTCACGGGCTTTACCGCTACGCAACTATAGCTCAAATGTAACGGCCCCGTCAACTGATCGATTTGCGGCCCAGTAAAACTGATCACACATCACAAAATATGTTCGAGTGTTGACTAGGACGGGTTTATGTAAGTACACACAATTCGTTACAGAGTTATTTACAGTTTACTAAGCTTAGTTGCCGCCTTTCTATATCTGACTGTTAAAATTGTCTCTGTGCTTAATTAAGCACTACGCTATGCAGGCGAATGGGGGAGTGGATGTACAGATCCACATATTCTTGGCCTCGCACTAGGTGGAGGTGAGTGGTCAGCTTCACGTCCCGGCCGCTTTACCCCCAGTACCCATTGCTAGGTGGACCCCAGAGCCGGTCTGGACGACGTGGAGCAAATTTTTTACCCTACCGGGACTCGAATTCCGACCCCTTGGTAGTACAGTCCGTAGCCAGTCGCTATAGCGACTACGCTACCCCGAAGAGAAAAGCGCACGCGTGCGAAAAATTCATGTTCGGCCATAAGTAATATAGGCTTTATTGCAGATCAATATGGCAGAAAATTCGAACTTCCCGACAAATGTTAGTGAACTCGTTCCATATGAAATTACACACATCTATCCAGCAGTGAAGCTAAGTGATAAACAGAGAGAGAGAGAGACGGACAGGCAAAACTTTCATACGGCGTTGTTTTCCTTCGTAATGAACACGTGAACGGTTTCATGACGTCACATATTTAGTGCAATGAAATAAGTCTTCTGTTGGTCACATGATATGAAAATGGTTGCCTCCCTTTCTTTCTGCTTTGTTTAACGACGCTCAGTAGCTGAGTCCATAATCGTCGAATCATACTTGATAAAAGAGCTGGAAAGGATTTGGAAGTGAGAGTGGCCTAATTTGAGGCACTATATGGACATAAAACTTGAGGAAAAGTACGAGAAAACCTGTCACCGTAGGTGTGCCGGCCGAAATTCGAACCCAGCACTTTCAGAATAAAAGTCAGATGCGTTACTGCTGGAACCACACCGCTCGCTCGCAACGATACGTATTTACTAAGAAGCGGTTTATGGTCTGTACATAATAAGCCAATATTTTAAGTGACAAGGTTTTCTCAATGCATTAACAGGCCTGTCGTTAATACACCACGTTACTACAAGTAAACTAAGCCCCAGCTTTTTAGTGTTGCATCCTGTTTGTGAAGCTTACAGATTACAGCTGTGTTAAACATTATTCCACAAGGCAGAGCCAGTACCGCCACGTCTTATCGCAGCATTAATTGGTTTTTATGATTTCAGCTGATCAGTAGAACCGACTGTGTCTTGAAGGAATGAAGTTCGTGTCATAAAACTCCTACGTTTATGATACACAGCAATAATCAGTTACATTGACTTCAATCACATCCTACAGTTGCACTAGGAGCAGAGTGCCCCTTTATACACTCCATTCTACCGCCCGTCTTACCTCGAACTTTCTTAGTGACGTCATTCCAGAGCTGAACAGCAAAGTGCAAGCGTCTATGGTTGCACCATGCACATGTAGTTTTTTAATAGTTTCTTGGGTTCGGATGACACTGAGTCCTCTTGATACGTGGGTCAGTAAGTGGCCTATCGTACCCACTTCGAACGATACATGATGAATGTGGAGCAGTCGGTGGAATGAGAAGTGGCAGGGTAACCGTAGTACTCGGAGAAAAACTGCCCCAGTGCCACTGCGTTCACTACAAAACCCATATTGACTAACCGCAGATCGAACACGGTCCCGTTACGATGGGAAGCCGGCGACTAACCGCCTGATTTATGGCACGGCCATCTTTCTCATGTAACAGCGATTTCCGTTTGTATTTTAATGACTAAATATCCCATATTGTTTCTTTATCACACAAAACTATAAATACAATATCGCACTTTGTAATGAAAGTCTGCCATATACACCAATAACAAACACGTATCTATCGCTAGTGGGGTGGGACTAAGTCCCTTGTACTGCGGCCACTTCTGGCCTCTTGTACCAGCCCCAGATGATAGGTGAAGGTGATTGTGGAGCAATTGGTGGAATGAAGATTGGCAGGGGAACCTGAGTACTCGGAGAAAAACCTGCCCCAGCGCCACTTTGTCCACCACAAATCCCACTTGACCAGACCCGGGATCGAAACACCACCGCAGCCATCGCATCACACTCCCGCCTCTTGTCACCAGGATCTGTGGGCGGTCAACTGCCGCGCCAAGAATTACAATGGCACGGATATCTGACAATAACATGTTCACGGATTACTAAGCAAGCTGAAGATCTTGGGAATAAACATACTAAAAATATTTATATTAAATAACTTGTCACGAAAATACACACCGTAAAATTAATAAAAGTGTATGACATCAAAGAAAATATCTGAATTCTCAGAATTACTGGGTTTTTGGATTTTGTCCATCGTCCGGTAATCTAGAAATTAAAATCTACATGTTACAAATTTTCACGACTTTTATGCTGCAATCATGAACAGTTAGGAAGTTTTCTTCTGGCGTGGGAGGCTGTTAACTGTAATGTCGGTGAACATTACCAAACCACACGGCAATATATCCCCGATCCGCGCAATTTTTAATAGTAATGTATAATATTTTATTGTGAGAAACACGAAAACAGTATAAACCGGTATAAAAGTTCTTGTTTTGGATGTATAGTTTCTGAAAGTGTTCTGTCCGGATGTGGAAAGCTACATAAAGATATACTGGTGAAGCTTATATGTTCAAGGATTGCAAATTAAAATGCCATAGTAACCAATAAAATATCTTGAGAAAAGTGAATAATGAAACTGGAGATTTATAACACTGTCAGTGATTGAAAATTTGGACTTGGTAAATGGTGTGAATGAGAATTGAGAAGTGAGATTACCCTAACCAAGAAATAAACAATTTGTGTTCAGTGCGGACAAACTTAATACCGTTAAAAGGTTGGTTTCCCATGACCCACATGATAGTTTGTCATTTTAAGGTGGTAAAATGAAAACACCAGGGCTATTGCTAGCCGTGACTTGCAGGGGTGTTCGTTCCATAGGGCGTGTCAATTACATGGCTATGTTGATAAAATGGGAAGTAAATTCATGAGATGGTTTAAGAAGCGTCTTCAGAAAACACTCAATAGGAGAGGTTCCACAAACATATGGGAAACAAATTGTGAGTTTTCCGTTGGTCCACAAGAAAATGACTCTGTTACACACTTTCTAAATATGCAGCAAAATGTAGAGAATGAAGCAGTGGAAGAGCAATCCATAAAAGCAAATAAGGGCGGTTTTGATTTGGGTCATTCAGAACATACGTCTGCGTGCAAAGTTGTATATGCAGATGAATCTAGTAGAAATGTGAACTATAATGAGACTACACAAGCATTGGCTACAGAGTTGGAAATACCCAGTATCTCAAATTCATATGCTTGTGCTAGTGTGAATTATGATGTATATAGTGACACTTTATCTTCTAATCCAAATACCTTACTATGTACAGATCCAGATTTGGCAGTGGAACCCAGTGTGTACTCTGGATTAACTGCAGATGAAATAGCCTTGATAGAAAATGATGTTCAAATACATCTAAATAAGTTTTGTCCAACTATGTATTATGATTTCTGCCTTATAACTTGTGATACAGATTATGAGGAAGCCACAATTTTCAGGTCAGAATTTTGCAGGAAATACAACTTGACTGGTTGTATGTTGTTTGATGATGACATTGCAAATCTTGGTGAAGATATCTTTGAACAGTATGAAGCAATGATGAAACGGAGTACTAAGGTATTTTTCTATCACACTGAAAATTACAAAAAGGACAGGGTTCTTCGCCGTGTACAAAATGGTGCTGTCTACCAACAACTTTGGGAACAAATGTGCAGAGACAAAGATAAATGTGTTCCTGTATTTCCAAATGGACATCACAGATTGGGGTTAGCTCTGTCAGGCATATCTGGATTGGATCCTACCCGTCCAGAGCATATGCACAGACGTGTACAAGCAACATTTACTGACAGTATACGTGAAGTTCGTGTGTTAAAAGAGGCAGATGCTAAGAGGAGAAGATGTGTCCTTTATAAAGAACTGTGTGAATACATGGCTCATTGTTTTAAAGAGAGAAAATGCAAGGGTTTAAGTATGAAACCTCAGTTAGCCTTAAATATTAAAGGTATGAAGAAGGAAGAAGTTGAAATGTCTACCTTTTCTGATATTGAAGCACCACATTTAAAACAGATGTTGACATCTTTGTCTGTAGAGGAGGAAGCTATGAATAGAATAAGTATGCTTGTATCTAAAAGTTATGAAAACAGTCTTGCATATGATGGTATGCATACCTTAACCATTCAACCTGCTCAGAATAATAGTTCTAGTGGAATCAGTATATCAGAATCATCAAATATTCATGTAGGACCCCATATTGAAGTGAATGTACATGTTAGTAGGACTGGAGAAAGAGATTCTCATCTTAGCATTGGTTCTGATGACACTTGAGAAACAAAATGAATGTAAATTCACATAACAATATTTAATGTAACATAATAACATGGAAACTGCTTTCAGGTACTGGTTACATTATTTACCAGCATCTGTGTAGTACCAGAGAAGCTCAAACAGACTTTGTCTCATATTTCTTTAACACGTCTAAAGATATTGGCATCGTCTTTGGTCAGTTTAAAATTAAATTTCTTTTCTTTGTTTTTGATGTAGTAAACATAAGTAAAACATGAATTTTGCCAAGTTTGACAGTAGACATTATCTCATAATTTAATGCTAAAAGCATGAAGTTCACAGCAACCATATTATAAATGTGCACCAAAGATTTATGTTGATTTGTGTCAAACGGTTATTTGTTGTGTAGGTCACATTAAAAATCAATGAAATGGTTACTGACCATCCCAGCATGCCAAGCTGTGTGTGCAGTGTACATGAATGCTGCTAGCTGATGTAAACTGAGGTGACCTAGCTATTGTTGATTAAAACTGCATACCTATATACACTGTATGTTCTATTAATAAAAAAGGCTGAGTCAAAATACACTGTATGTTCTATTAATAAAAGAGGCCGAGTCAAAAAACACTAAATTTTCCATGACTTTCATCCTGAATACTGCAGCGTGCATCTTACATGAGGTACAGGGCATGATGGGACACAAGCACAAAAACGGTGTTTAGTTCACTAAAGTGTTCTGTATTTCAATCTGTGTGTACAGAAAAGAAGCCAAAAAAATATCAGCAATTCCAAAATGGGTATTTGCTTCTATGTGCATTCATACTCACAAGAAAAAGAGAATTATAAAAGTTTCCTGACAGCCTGTTTTCTGAATAGAACGATATATTTGTACATAAACTTCCAGTTTTCATTTCATTTCATTTCAGCTACAAGTATTCCACAAATACTCCCTTTTAGACACATTCACTTTGCCATTCTACACAACATCCAAAAAGACGGTACTCTTCTCACATTCCACCTGCTTGAAAGGTTATTCCACAGCAGAACCTCCGGTTATGGCAATGTATGGGAAAAAAGGTGGTTCTGAAAAAGCCATNTCTGCTGTGTCTGTAGGGCCCAATCCAAGTGACCATACAGTTTAACACCAAGCAAATACTGTGATTACAAATTCAAATCCTGCCAAAGGCCTTAATGTTTGTATGGCTTTTTCAGAACCACCTTTTTTCCCATACATTGCCATAACCGGAGGTTCTGCTGTGGAATAACCTTTCAAGCAGGTGGAATGTGAGAAGAGTACCGTCTTTTTGGATGTTGTGTAGAATGGCAAAGTGAATGTGTCTAAAAGGGAGTATTTGTGGAATACTTGTAGCTGAAATGAAATGAAATGAAAACTGGAAGTTTATGTACAAATATATCGTTCTATTCAGAAAACAGGCTGTCAGGNTGTTATACGTACGATAGCATGAGCACACATTTGGCCTTCATTTACACTTCCTTTTATTAGCTTCATGAAATCAGCTGTGCAAATTGATGCACTAACACTACAAATCTTCATGCCTGCAGTCTGACAGCATACGAGCTACTCGATCTACAAAATAGTCATTACAGAATGGACTCATATTAAAACTAGATTGGAATTTTGTTTAAGATTTCAAACCATTTCTGTATTGAAGAAACCAGGGAATATTCCATACATCAGTAAATTTCATGCAGGTAGCCCTTAAGAAAGGGAGGGGCTATGTGGGGAATACTTGTGTGAAGAATTAGACTTGTACACTGCTACCGGTAATTTAAGTGGCAACAACACAACTCCACCAGAATATGCTGTTTCTGCCATTTAAATTGGTAATGGAAATATTCTCTATACACCATGTACTCAGTCACCTATCTTGCTCCCATTATGTCAACATAGATTTTTCTGCACTATTTAGCTTCTGTACCATATGTTGCAATTAAGTGATTGACATTCCTGGTTCATATTCATCAAGTCCCAAGCTGAAATCTCAGCCAAGAGACCGACTATCATGGCTGAGATATTTCATGGCTTTTCAAAGTACCTTGAGGCAAATGCTGGGATAGTATCTCAATTACACTGTTAACTGCTTTGGTCCAGGCCCTTGCCACTTCATTATTTAATACTCGTCCAACACCATATAATGTGAATACTAAAAATGCTGAAATAAATACATACATAGCTTTTGCAGAGCAAATAGTCTATGAAATGGGAACATAAATACCAGTGACAGTGGCTAGGCTGATATAATTGTATTAATAAATGTCTTGAACAAAAGAGCATGTCACATTATGTTCAGGTTATGTTAAAACAAGCACTGTGGCCTCTATAAGCATTCTGAAATTACAATATATGAAGCCTGGAAGTAGTACATATTACTGATAAAGGGCTAGAAGGTTATTATTTATGGTGAGTTAATGTTACATTGTTACTGATTTTGAACTATATTATGTGACAGAAGGGAAATTTTACTGTTTCATTGTGTTTATCTTTACATTTCAGATCACATTATCCATATGTTAAAATGAAAGCATGACCAGTGAAATAGGAAAAGTGTGCAATTATGAATTATGCCAAAATCAAAGATTCATCATTGTTACAAAGATTATTTTCATGTTTTAAGAGTCAAAGAAAGAAGGAATGTGTTAATCACACAAGAAATAAGCTTCTGGAGTGGCATTTGAAGCATCTGCCCATCAAACAGGATAGAGACTGTGATAATACACATGAACCAATTCCACTTGCTACATGGCCTGGACAACAGCTATACAACAGTGTGGAAGCAACTATTGCTCAGAACACAAATTTTGCCTTGGCCCACATTTCCACCATTCAAAGAGAGATTGAGACTGAATTAGAGGAATCATGTCCCTTTGAATTGAAGGATCAGTATGACTTCTGTATGATATGTTCAGAAAGTGATATATGTGAAGCAGAAAAATTAACAGAAAACTTGAGTACTCAATTTGAACTTGTGGGGCATCTTGTATGGAACTCCGTATATCTAGGGGCTGACCATTTTACTGTGTTTGAACAGGTTATGCAGAGAAGCTCTGTAGTTATATTTTACATTACAAGGAGTTTTCTAGAAGATAAATTCTGTTGTCATGTAACACGAAATAAACTAGTGAGCCCTGCTCAAATATGTGGTACCATAAGGAACATTCCACTGTTGATAGATCCTGATGTTGCATTGCCTGAATCTCTTCGGCTCATTCAAAAGCTCACCTTGCAGTATATTGGAGCTCAGTTTCCAAAGATATTTACTGATAAGGTTCGATTTGAAAAAATAGAAAGACATGTTCAATGTGAAATGCTGATTGATAGTAACAGACTTTCACTCATTAGGGATGCTGTAAAGCGAATTAGTGCCAGGTAACTCACTCTATACATGATGACAATTCATTTGTACACGTTTTAGGTTGATTAACGGTAACACATTTTTTTTAACAGCATGTTCTAACTGTGATACAGGCTTTCTTACTTCTTGGAGACCAGTTTAACTTCAGGTTAGTTCATGGTATTTGTGATAGACCAAGCTGTATCAGGACATGCATGAATATTTCCCAGTTTTAAAAAAATACTTCAAGTCACTGTTATTACATAAATTGTAATTTAGTCCATTTCACTTTTCACATAATCTTAATTAACTGATTCTTTTGAACCAAACATTAACAGAAAAATGTTCTTGAAATTCATTTTGTCTCCATATTTGTTGTTTATTAAGACTGTTATATTTATCATGCTTACAACTGTGAAACATGTAAAACATGGAGGTAAATCAAATAAACTATGCAATTTTGACCAATACCAATGGTCCATTCAGTGAATGGTCATACACCTCATAAACATTCATAATGTGATTGAGGAAGTATGACCTTTCTTATTCCTGGCATAAGAGCCACAGAAATAAAAGTACTGATTTTTCATTTCATGCATCCTGTTGTGTTATTATATACAGTTCTTTATTGGAGTCCACTGTAACACAATACAATACCACAACATAATGGTCACGGTTAAAATTACCTTAGCTACATGTTTCAGCTTTTCCCAGCTTTACTATCACAATGAAATTGCAGTTCAGTAGTATGTGAATATGGTAATCATGTGTTTGCCTGATGATGGCTTTAAAAGCCGAAACATAGCTAAGGTAATTTTAATCTTGACCGTTATGTTATGTTACGACGGACTCCAATAAAGAATTCTACAAAACTATTGAATCCTCAGTTGCAAACTCTTTATCATCTTCCATATGGGCAGTTAGTCTGATGGGAAATGCTAGTTATTCATACATTGGTTGGGTTACACTGTTATGACTTCATACTTTTCAATTACATAAAGTTTCTCTTTGTGATAGTACTGAAGCTGCAAGGATTTGGCACAATGAATCTGTGTCATCCTATACTAGTGTGTGAGAAATAACTATAAATTACTTTTCTTTCAGCTTGAAGGTTTATTTGAAGTTAAAAGCTGGATATTAAGCTAATTAGAGAGGTGAGCTGATATAAAGACAAGGCAAAATTTTGTTCATTTGTTTGGCAATTTCATGAAGTCAGTATATCAGCTGTTATGCGTATTTAATATATTACGGTGTCTTGACAAATAAGAGAGAAGGGATAAATCTATTAAAATGGAAATAAGAAAAATTTGTCCCAGTACAGCATTATTACCCATGCTACATGAATCTCTCTCTTCGTGGGAGGTCTAGGCTAGTCACAAGTTAAGGAAAAAAAGACATAATAGCCATGCCACACACAGCTGAATGTTAACTCCACATATAATCTTGGCAAGTAGATTGCTCCTATGTAAAAGTTTCATGATGTTTTGGGCACTTATTTTGGTAAGTTCTTATTCTCTAAGTAATTTTGTGAGGTACATGGTAATCATGTCATGTTTAATATTGGAGTGTATGGGGAATTAAATTGGAGGTGGGTTTACTTCTTTCAGATATGCTATTTGGCTTATTTTATATAATCATGTAGCACCAGACAGGGCCAGTTGTGTGAACACAATTTTTGTGTTGTGACAAGAAATGACCACAGTTGTATACATATAATAAATCTGAAGCAACCGAGACGGTGTTTTGCTTTGGGCTTCACATGAACCACCATGAAGTAATTTTCTTCACTGTTCTATTGTCCTAAGTTAACATTCAAATGCTAAAAATGACGTACCTTAATTAGACACTCTGTACACTTCAGAGCTGAATATCTTTATTATTTAAAAGTAGTGAAATGGAAATTTCATGTCTTCCTCCAGAATTCTGTCCTCAATGTGTGTGTAGAGTTTCAACAATGGATATCTCACAGTGCTGTCAAAGTATAACGAGATCCAGCATGCATCTTAGTGTTATTAAGGGCATGATAATAACAAATTATAAATATAATTTGTATTTCTAGACTTAGTTTAAAATTTTGTTGTAGACTGAGCATGCATGAAATACTGTATTTTAAAAACACTGCTACTTTTTTATCTTCAAAATATAATACTAAAATGACGTATAAAGACTGTAATTTTTATTGAAGATTTACTTGTTGCCGTCCCACAAAGTACAAAAAACGATGACGGAATCAAACTTGTGTTTTAAAAGCATGAATATACAGCTTCTATTCTCTCAGTATGAAGATGCACACATAAGCTCAATACTTATCATAACAACTATATGTGATTCTTAATTCAAGGACCTAACGTTTTAACAGCTATATTTCAGAACTGTTGGATTGAGCTGTATCATATTCTACTCACTATACTGTGGACTTTCATCTAATATGAAATCACTTTCAGCAAAACATTGCCCTTGCTTTCCATGGTATGTGTGCAGAGTACAGATTATATATACAGGGGCATGCAGTAGCATAGTTGGTTGAGGCACTATGCTACAAGCCATAAGGTCGTGGGTTCAAGTCCTGATGAGGTCATTGGATTTTTTTTTCAATTGACCCAATCCTTCCAGCCCCACTATGGCCCTGGGGTCAACTCACCCTCTAACAGAAATGAGTACCCGGAATATTGTTGGGGGT